CGGGCGACGCTGCACCATATATACACACACATGCATATACATATACATATACATATACATATACATATACATATACATATACATATACATATACATATACATATACATATACATATACATATACCTCTACATAAAACAGAGACATATACCTATACAAAAACATCTACACACACAGAAACATTTGCATTTACATTTACATTTACATAACATTTACATTTACATTTACATTCACATGCACAAAAAAAGGTATTTCTGAAACAAAAAAACATGAAGAAACACAGCAAAAGCACGCTTTTTCGTCTTGTCTGGAAGTTTTCAGACCCCGGAACTGTTTTCCACATTTGTGCCATGTCAGTGCAGAGTCAGCTCAGAAGACAGTGGTAGCAGGAGTCAGATAACTTGCATGATCATACGCAACAAGAAAATGGATATCGTTCTAGCACACTTCCAAACTGTCTTGGAAATGACTTCTAGCTGTAGAATATCTGACATCACTCTACAAAAGCGCGAAAAACAAGCAGAAGTGAGCATGAAGAATTGGAGAGAGAGTCACCAAGGTTAGAAGCAAACGGTTGTTTGTCCTCGTTTTTCAGTTCCAAACAGCTCGGAAGTGTGGATGAAGCGTTTTGCCAAAAAAGAAACACACAAGGGTGGCTTCAGGGCTGTCGAAATTCCGACAGAACAGCTCGAAATTTGCAGCTTTTTTGTTCCAAAGGCACATTGTTGCTGAGCTTGGTCTTTACTGACAATTTTAAAATGGATGTTCCAGCCGAACTCGGACTTTGTCCACCGTACTTCCACAAGCAGCGAGAGTTTTCCAGCAGTCTTCGGGAGGCGGGAGGTTGTTCTGTGTACAGTGCGATTGCGGTTTTTTGGCCGACTTGCAGTGTGGATGCACACAAAGCCTTTCGGTCAGTAGCTCCACGCTTGCTAAGTTTTCGTGGTAGCAAGTCTTTGCCGCAAAGTTTGCCGATTTGATGCAAGAGATTCTATTTTTGGCGGAGCACCTTTTCCAACAGAAGAAACACGATTCATCTTTAAAGGATCCGATTCGAAAATAACCATTCTACAGACTTTTGAAGTGTCTGCCAGCACCTCCATCTGATTTGGGGTTGTGGTGCAATGCCTACATCCTGGTGCTTTTCCCAGCCAGGAACTTCAGGAGCTGTCTTCCAGCTAGGGGCTGTTTCCAGCACAAGGTGTTCTACAAATGGGAACGCTCTCTCTTATATCCATGTTTCAAAACTGCGCTATGTTATGGTGTAGTCTCTGGCTGTTTCGTTCATGGGGTAAGTCCTTCTTCCCGGTTCCGGCCGGATCTCGCTCCAAAACGCGACCTAGGAGGCTCAGAGCTGGCTTCTAGAACGCCCGAAAGTGCGCGCAAAGTCCATGCAAAATCTTTTGGGCCATAGTGCGGCCTGGCGGGGTCGGAGTTTGGAGGTTCGACTTCCGCTGATCAGGTGCAGCGTGTCTGAACTACTGCAAACTGCAGGAGAGACTGCGGCAGAGACGGAACTTCTACGTCCAGAGACTCACATCTTACCGTCTCAGGAAAGACTCCACAGAAACTTCGACAAAAACCGCAAACTTCGCAGTTTTTTTGGTAAAGACTCCGCAAAGACTACACAAAGACACGATGACTCCACAAAGACTCGAAAGATTCCAGAAACATTCCACAGGGTAAGCCGAAATTTCACCCACGCTTGCAAACTCGACCCACCTATGAGTTCTGCAGACTCGATTCCGACGATGTGCGCTGCAGGCTCGAGCGAACGTTGCAAAATTCCAGACGGTCTAGTCAAGGTGCTGCAGGCCAAACACAGCTCGCAGCAAAACTGTACGCAAAAACTCTGCGGGTTGAGAGCTTGAGAACTCTAAATAGCACGATAATATTGACATGCGACTTCAAACATCTTCAAACCGTGATTTGTGCAATTCGATTGCGCTGGAAAGCAAATCTACATGCAGTGCAATAACTCGGCACTTGCACAACCGCTGGCCGCGGATAAGTGAGGCCTGAGCCACGAAGAGACAAGGATCCAGCGACGGCTCGTATCAGGGACCTGTCAAGTGGCACGGAGCTGTGGCCAAGTTTTCGCATTATGCTACCTCTCCGCGCTGTGTCTCCGAACGAGCAGCGAGTCTGCGCGAGCGCTCGGCCCCTTTTCAGCGCATAAGGTGAAAACACTCCAGCTGTGCAATGATCTCGCTGCAGTGCATGAGGCTGTATCTGTGCTGGTCCTGACAAGCTTCCCAAGGTCTGCTTTGAAGTCTGATAACCCGCTTTGGCCGCCTTGCTGCACATTTGGAGCAGCACGTTGGGTATGTCCTGAACGGTTTTGCCCCCCTGTGGATTCCTGGCCTTGGCTTGGTGTGTCCTGCGCAATTGGGCGGGCGCCCTTCACGTTGCCATAGCAGCACTGAGCCGCGATGTACTCAGCCGTCTTTGTGTTTTTTCGGCGCACTGGGATCTGCAAGTCGTGATGAACTCCGGCACAAGCGGAGTTGCACTTGATGGCTCGCCCAACCTTGTCCAAAACCGTCGTTGCTTTCGTCGGCAGATCAACGCCGTCGCACCAGCATACCTCAAAAGATTTCAAGACCTTACGCAGATGCTCATCCCGTGTCGAGTAGAGCTCCAAGAATGGAACCCATGTACTGCTGGCTTCCGAAGTTCCATGCATGCAATACAGCCGAAACCTTGCAGCCAGTGCATTTGCGAGGCATTCCACTAGAGAAAAGCTGCAGCTGCTTCAACACGTCTTTCCCGTGTTGCTTCCCGGTCCGCTGCTTCATCATTGGCAGCACCTACTAGAGACAAGGGTGCAAGCGCAGGCATCCGATGAACGATAAGCCGGGTGTAGTCACGGCCGGGTCTTCCTTCCATCCAGTTGAGCATGCCAGCACAAAAGCATCCCATTCTTTGGGGCACGCGGCTGCATATCTCGGTGAAGGCTGACTTTATGCTGCCCGTTCTACTCATTGATGGCTGCTGTTCTTCTGCAAGCAGCAGCCTGATCCATGAAGATCAGCAAAGGACACCTTTTGGCTGTCCCAGTCATGGACCTCCACGGCTGCAACACACCACTTACTTTTCCTCAAAAGCAAAAACCCACAATTTGAGATTGGCGTCGAATCGGAGACCGTTTCTCTTGCCCTTCAGACGGGCAACCACCCTGGAATATCACTTTTTCTTTGATGTCACATTTTCCACAGTGCAACCGTCAACCGTCAAAGATTTGAAGAAGGTGGCAAATGATGATGTGCGAAGTAGCACGGCAGGATTCTCTTTTACGTGCTTTGTGACGAGTGCAGCGTCAAAGACCAGCAGCCGTCCGCACTCGCGGCTTGCGGCATCGTCCTCATGCTCGGCCATGCGCGGCCAGGTTTCCAAAGAGGTATGTTTTTTCCGGTGCCTCTTGGGATCCAAGAACAACGATGCCCTCATTCCAGTCGGAAATCTCGCTGCCCGGGGGGTCTTTTCACCTGTTGCGCTACATTGCCAACAGAACGTAAGACATCTCAGGAAAGCACGATGACAAAAAAAAGAATCGGCACTCAACAAAGAGCCCCAAATCCTCAACACTGACGCATGTAATAGAATCTGCTTCACACGCTGCGTTGCCAAATTTCCGGAGAACCGAGTCCAAGGGGCGGATTTTTGGCTCTCGTTGTACTGAGCAAGCTCTCGTGGCCAGTTCCTGATCCAAACAGACAGCCGTGGCACCAGAATCCCGTTGACCCTGTCCCCCGCCTTAACAATACCTTTAATTTATGAAAGGAAGGGCCACAAAGAAGCAGTTAAAGAAAGCAACAGAGAGGCAAAAAGACACCAAACAGATGACAGAAAGATACCCGAAGGAGACAAACGGAGACAAAATGGAGACCAAACGACAAAAAACGACAAATTAATGCAACGAAGTCCGTGGAAGAGCCCTTCGCGGCACTTTCGGGAAAACTACTTGCATGAACGATGTTGCATCTCTTGCGTTCCACCATGGCAAACAGGCATGAATGAAAATCCAAAGGGTTGTGCAACCCAACCGCAACCCATGCACACTCCGCCGGTTGCAGCTTTTTGACATCTTCACGAGCGTATGCCTGGCCTGGCTCGCACCACGCTATGGTAAAATTCTTCAAAGCCGCCAAGAGCAAGTCTGCTCGGCCCGGCAAACAATTAAATAGGAGTTTGGCAAAGTCATCTTGATTGTTTACGGTGAAATGCGCATTCGCGTTGCGCAACATCTCTAAGTATGTGCACCATTTCATTTGCAAGGGACGCTGCTTTGTCGACCAACGCACTGCTATGCTCTTGTTCACACCGTCATTCGACCAACTCAGAAGTTGTTGAACACAAGGGTCGCCTGTCTTTGGATGCCAGCCATGTTGCCTCCCATGTTTCCTGCAAATAGTCTCCACACGCCTGCGCAGTTTCTTGTCGTCGCCACTCATTCTGTCCCACTGCCGCAACGTGCCGCACACAAGCTCACCAACTCGCGCAAGTTGCTGCAGCCTTTGCGCGTTCTGGTACTATTGCAGCACAGGAAAATTGGACTGGTTCACAAGTGTCCCGTTCTCATCTACACACTGCGCCATGCAAACAGTCCATGGGTTGTCTGCAAACGAGAACTTGCCATTTAATTTCTGAATATATGGCTCAAAGAAGCAGCCGTACAGGATCTCATCGAAAAAGTCTGCTGGGTCAGAAGTCGCCCCACCCATGGCCAAGTCTCGGATGTACTGCAAGCGTTCTGGTTTGCTCCAAGTGGGATCCCCGAGCAAAAGCGTCATCTCCGTCACAAACTCCGCTCTCAACTTGAGATTCACTTGTAGTTGCGTGTCCTTAACGGACTGTGAGTACTTCCGCATTGTTGCTGTATATGCCATCAACGGCACGGATGAGATCTCAGCTAACAACTCTGTCAGGTCGTCTCTTTCCGGCTCGTTGGCTGCAGTGGCCAGGAATTTGCATTTGGCATAGTCCAGCTCATGGCTGGGATGTCGCCACGGGAGGAAAATCTTGCGACACTCGCCAACAAACGTAAATCCATTGGGAGTCATCTTGAGAAAGTTTTGCCACGCAAGGACCATGGCTGAACCCGTGATGGCAAAGTGCAGGTTGGAGCGCTGCCTGTTGACTCCTACGAAACCTTTGAGTGTATCCCACAATGGGAACGTTCCCTGCCTCACTTCGAAATATCGCTGAACTTCGTCGATCAAGAAGAAGTAGGTTCGGCCAGACCTGTCCAAAATATCCATCAACTGATTCAAGGTCAGCTGGTCGGCAAGGCCCACATCGAACCCAGAGGCTGTTGCCCAACTGCAAACCTCTTTCAGCAATCTTTCCTCCATTTCTCCCGGCTCGGAGCCCGCATTGAGAAAAGCGGTAAAGTCCAGGAAACAAATCTCGGCATCTGGAAACGTCGTCAAGATGATCTGTGGCAAAAGGCGAGTCAAGACGGTAGACTTTCCAGTCTTTACTATGCCATTGATGGCACAAATGCCCTCGGGAAGAGTTACATTCCTCCACCCACGCAGTCAACTGCTGCATCAGTTCCTTGGACACGATGGCAAATTCTGCCGGATTTTCAAAGTCACAGACCAGCAGCTTCTTGTCGTCGCAAACTGCTTTGTTCATGGTATACTTGGGGGCAATGTATGGCAGCTGGCGTCTTGCGCCCTGCACCTGGAAGGGTGCACGTCAACTGACACAACTGGAACATGCGCAAAGCTGCGGTCTTCTCAACTGGCGTTTGTACACAACCAAGGCTTACCATTGAAATCCCATTGACAAATCTGACAAATCAAACCAATCTATCGCGGAGTCGCGGTTGGGAAGAAAATTCAACACTGGCAGGGTAAGACACCACACTCAAGCAGGAACTCTTCCCGTGGATGCAAAGCTAGGGATGCATGGTTACGGGGCTCCGCACCCGAACTACATGTGCCAAATGCAGCAGGCACATGTCTATCAAACAAGCAGGTGCGTACTTTTGCAGGCACAATCTTCGGAAAAGCAACAACGGTGGACCCAACGAAAACGCACGACGACCAAGAGCTCCGGGCAAGCAGGAGTGCTGCAAACCAAAGCCAACATGCTCGCGCAGAAGCCCCCACCCTGCACTCGTCTTGCCGGAACCCCACTGCCCTTCAAGGTCCGTGTACTAAAGGCAAGTGCTAAGAACCCAGGTCCCTTGACTCCCCCTCACGGACACAGTAGCCTGAAAGTCGAGCCTCAACCAAAAACAACCACAACCTGGAGAGCGAGCGCAAAGCGAGCGCA